GTGGCATTGCCGTATTGGTCCATTTGGTCGATCTTTGTTTTTATTATTTATTATATTTTATTTTCAGATTTTACAGACGGGACAGACATGAGTGAGGGGATAGGAAAGGGAGAAAGAAAGAGGAAGGAAAGGAAAAACAGAAGGGGAGAGGGACAGTGAGAAAGGGGGGGAGAAAAGAAAAAAAAACTATTAATATTAAAATCCTCTCCATCCACAGTAATCCTCACGTTTTCTCTCTTCTTCATCTGATAATCTCCGCACAAAACGAAGGGTTTCTTCCTTCCGTTTTATCCACAGAATAATAGACCACTAAAAAAAACAAAAAGGGCTTTTAGGTTTTAAATAGTCGACAAAAGAAGATACACCAAACTAGACTTTGGTGTAAAACTAATAATTTTTTTTCTTCTGCCTGGTTAAGGCCCAGCATTCCGAATTGGGAAAAAAAATATTGTTAAATAACGATTATCTCTTCAGGTATGGTGTCTGCAATTAAAACAATTTTTCACCGACAACCTGGGAATCGTTTAAACCAATTAAAAGAGGGGGGAAATACCTAAAAGGAAATATTGCTTTTGGATTGTCGTGCAGGCCAAAATATATGAACGATAAATAGCTAAACAATAATAATCTGTCAATGCTGGATTTAAATAAAAAAAAAAGGACTTTCCATGCAGAGAGTGGAAATATGCGATGTGCAAAACCGGAGAAAATACATAATAAAAAACTAAAGTCAACAGTTAAAAACCTGTTTAGGCCTGCAAATGCGTCACAAACAAGCAAATTTAAACAATAATGTATAAAAAAAGACCCATCATTTTTTTTACGATAAATTATAATATCTGAATAAAAATAAAACGCAAAAAAAAAGGCTCGGTTAATATTTAAACCCACAAAAAATAAATCGAAAATCTTAAAAAAAGAAAAAAGAAAAATCTCTATAACAACGACAACACAAGAAGAAATAAAGAATTTAAAAATTTAAAAAGAAAAAAGAGAATCCTAAGCCAGTTTGGTTAGTGTGCAAAATAAACAGTAAAATTCAATAATAATAATAATAATAATAATAATAACTATAATTTTCCATACACTATATTTGTTTCTTCACACATAATAACAAGATTAAAAAATAGTTTGCAATGATAATTAAGAGGAAAAAAAATGAAGGAGTTGAAACATACTTATAGCCCTGAATCCAGTGCAAGAAAGTAAAGGACAGAAAATGTTTCAGCCAAAGTTATGTTGTCATTTCTGGTTTAAGGCTATGACTTGGGTGGCCGCGGGCGAACACCGGCGCAGGGATAGAGACAAGAGAGAAGAGATAGCCCTCAAAGCCCATCTCTGTACTCCTGGACGACATTGCCCGATTAGACCGACAGGCGGCGCTGCAAAACGGCAGAAATTAGCACAAAGCACATACAGAGGGCCGCCATGGTTCTGACCGAAGAGGCAATTATTGTGGGAACAAATCATTGCTCTGTTGTTAGAATAAGTAGGAAGACTTTAAAAGGTGAATCTATGTGGACTTTTTTTTCTTTTTTGGAGGGTACAGGGAAAACCCTGGCTTTTTTATTATTTCTATTTTTACTGTTTTATTTTTTTAAATATTTAAACTAAGTCACTTCCACTCAGTTCATAGTCACTTTCCTCATGTTGGATATCTTTAGAAAAATAAATAAATACATAAAATAAAAATACATGCCCTTTAAAACGTTTTGTTTATGCTTATCAATAAGTCCAGGCCACTGTCAGCCTTTTTTCTTTCTTTCTTTTAAATGCACCTCCACTTAACTGCTAATAGCCTTCTAAGTCTGAGATGGGCTGGTGTTGAATTTGCTCTGCAATTTGCACACTTTATTTGCATTTGTCAGTAATTTATTACGCGGAGGGCATATTTGTGTGCCTAAATAAATGTCCATGGCAAGATGTATTTCAACCACAATTTGTTATTGTCAGTTTAAGAGGGCACTCAAACGGGCAGTCTGGTTAAAACAAGCTATTGCAAACAGAGTGCTGGAAGAAAGTTTGAAATGGTGTATTTTTATGACCATTTGCAAAAATAAATTCAACAGGCAACAATATATATACAAAAAAGGGTTTCGGAGTTATAATAATAATAAACCAATTAATTGTGTTCTGTTAAAATGGGTACGTGAATTAAGACTTGTATGCAACACAGTTAATCACACAAAAAGCTAACAAAAATCAAAAATGAAATATTTATTACAGCATTTGTGACTGAACACCTTTTAAACATTACGTCACAGTCCTCATACAAGTATTTAATGTATTTTTGACAAAGCTTAAGGGAGACGGCATCTTATCATCTAGTGAGGAACACGTGCTGAAAAAGGAAGGAATTCATGGACATACAATATCAATGCCACAGCAGATCTGAAACTAGCAAAAACATTCTTTTTCAATTGAGGTAAACACATAGAATATCTAACATGAAACAATTAATAGACTGAACTCTGTACGAAGTTTGTTACAATATTCTCTCAGCTTTTTTCTCCCAAAAGCATTGAGTTCATAATTTAAGTTTTTTTTCTTTTCTTTTCTTTTTTTTGTGTGTGTGTGTATGCGTGTGTGTGTGTGTGTGTTTCAGGTTTTTTGGTGCATCAACCATCAAATGCTTCTCCAGTGCCACAGAATCAACATTTGTGTCAGCATTGTCCTTATGGCAAGAATGTTGATCCACAGATAAAGAAGCGCTGCAGGATGTTGCTTTTCCACTATTAAGCTTCCTTCAAAATGCTCTTCATCAATGAGAGTCCAGGGTACAAAAAAAATAAAATAATATTAAAATAAAAATGTATAAAACCAACACAATCCAGTGCTTGGGCAATTCAAACAACGAACTCTTTTTTTCTTTAAAACCTACAGGGCAACATTCATTCATGAACCAAAAACAAGAAAAAGAGAGAGAGGGGCATGACAAATGTTCAAACTGAATCTTCTGGAGAGATCCGGTGTCATTTAGCAGCCTTTTCCCATCATGCCCTGTTCTTATGGGGGACAGGACCTGATTGCCCTCTGTGGTTTGAAGCCTTTTTGAGATGTTCCATCTTCTTATTTTTTTTTCTTTAATAGTGCTGTGCTGCGAGACAGTTTCTCCTCCAGGAAGGAGCACACACAGTGTGAGAGAGAAAAGGTTAACCTTTAATTCTAAAACTAGCTCAGGAAACAGAAACCATGTGATCAACAAAAAAAATGCACAAGTTTTAACTTATTTATCTATACTTTTATACTACAGTAGTTATAACTCTTGGAGTCTTTCTGTTGTTTCTTTTTTTTTTTTCTTCTCTTTTTTAAATCTTCCAGAGTGATCTTATAGAAGCGTTTGAGAGCATCACATGAATGTGTACTGAACGTGTTTATGACGGTGCGTGAGTGTGAGAAAAGTGTGTGTGTTTTGCTTTTTTTCGAGCGGGTGCGTCTGTCCGTTCTTTGCACGCGTATGTCAAAACATCCTCTGTTGATCTTTACCAAAAGCCCAAGACTTTACAAAGTGTTCTTGTCAGCTTGGTCCTCCGTTTGGATGAAAGTAACAAAATTGACAAGTTAGAAAAAAAAAGAAAAGAATTATCACAGCTCATCTGGAATTCTGTTTCGTTCGTGTCAAATTCTGGTCAAAAGGGTTTGCTTCTTATTCTTAAAAATAGTCTCAAAATAGGATTTATTGTTGGTTGCTGTTTGTTTGTTTTTTATTCTTATTGGTTTCTTGTAGTAGCTGCTGTTGTCGTGATGTCGTAGCAAAGTTCCCTTATGCTATTGGGCATGGATGTCCAGGCCTTGTCCTCCAGTACTGGGGTCAACGGGAGAAAGCAAAGGGGGTCTCTGTGCAGACATGGTCATTCCTGGGTGCGACGAGGGTCCTCCGTGCATCAGCATGGCGTGATGAGTGTGGTGGACGCGGGGATGATCGGGTAGGTATGCATGGAAAGGGGGCCCGTGTCGGAGCTGGGAAGGGTGAGAGGTCAGCTGATGATGGTTGGTGTAAGTGGGTGGGGTCATGCTCATGCCCATAGGACCACTCTGAGGTACGTACTCCCCTGGCATGCCTGACAGACCTGAGAAGAAAGGCAGAAAGACGAGAACGTATTTACACAGTCACTAAAACTGTTTTCTCGCCGCAGCTTTGACACGCTCCCTCTCCATTAACAGACCTTAATTCAATTTAAACTCAACGTCTCCAACAAAGAGCTTAACAGATTTTATGACACTGCGCCTGTGACTGCAGCGCTTTTAGCTCCTACAAGTAAAGAGAGACATTATTGCAGCAGACTATTTTAGGCGATGGTGAGTGGTTTACAATGCCCAATAGCGTTGTGGTCAGGTCTCAGGTCGGAAAATGATCCTCAGTCATCCACAGACACTGTAGTCCTGGAGGATGTGAGGAAAACCAAGCAGGCGTATTGATGTGGAGAAGTGCTAATACTTTTACAAGTGGAAGAGTCAATTCCCCAGCTGAATTTAGTGACTAACTGAACAGGCATTCTCTCGTGGGGATGTGCCTTTGTGCACATATTTGATTTAGAATCTCTTAAAGACATCGTTAAATAATTTAGGTCTCGGTTAGTTGCATCACCAATATAGAGAACATTAAAGGCTTGTTTCCGCCTCTGAATAAGAGCATTTCAAGCAAAAAAAAGTACCAGTTGTTCATCAAACAGCGGCAAGACAGTGTAACAAAGACAAAAAGAAGGGGAAAGAGAGAGCAAAGGGAAAGGCGGTGGCTTATGCTGATATCTCTTAAGGTGGACTCCACTTCATATGTGTAGAGACCTCAGCATGCTGCATCTCTCATACTGTGACACGACCCAGGACAGGGGGCTGGCTCAGCAGTGCCACTGTTTGGCTTTTCGCATTGCTGTTTGTTGTAATCAGCAAGAAAAAAAAAAGTCAAATGTGGGGGTGTTGTTCCTGGTGCCTGGGACTGGAGTATGGGAACAAGGCTGGTCCAGAGGCCTGGACCTTGGGGAGAAACGAGTGAGCAGGAGGTCCCGCTGGAGCCAGGGGGCCTGGGTCTGGGATTGGGTCTGGGCTGGCCTGCTTTGTAATGTGAACCCCTGGGGGATTAGAAGCTGTAATAGGAGGGGAGAGGTCGCTGCAAGGTCACTAGGCATGCTCACTCTCTGCATTCCTCCACCTTAGAACACTGCAATTAAGAAATTACACTGGAGGACCCCGGTGAGGGGAAGAGGCGGAGGACAGAAAGGAGAGAGGGACAGCAAAAGCCAAGATTAATGGCCAGTCCGCTGGTTGAAAGCTATGCCATTCTCTAATGCTCCCTTTCCATGTCAGTTCATTTGAAATGCAAGTGTTTGTCAGAACAGGTCTCTTAAAACCTCACTACTCAGGTCATAAAATAAATAAATCATTCAGGGTGTTAGTAGGGTATGATGGGTGCCCTCACCTCCATATAATCCAGGACAGCTCCTGTTAAAAGGCCCAGCAGATGTTTTTGACACTGTAAGCTGGTAATCTCTAGTCTTGTAAGCTCCAGTCATTCCGTTAAGTAGATCCTAGACCCCCCCACCCCTTCTTTTATTAACAAGAGTGGTAAAATCTGAAGACAATGACTGAGGACAGACTGGGCCTCTCTCCCTTGCCATCTCTGCATGCCTGCCTCCCTAGCTGGCTGCGCACTTCTGTTATGGCACAGTAGTCCTGCTCAATGGCTGGCCATAATTAAGTACCAAATATACCATATTGTGTGACTGTGTAATCAAATCAAGAGAGGATAATATTGCTCTGTATTAAGCTATTAATGTAATTGGTCATGAAGCATAAAGTATGTTACGTAATTAAATAGTCTCAAAATTATATAGCCCTATATTAAGAATTAGCCAACCTGAGCAAATGTTGTCTCTGTGTGGCTGTTTTAGGGAACATTGCTTCCTGATTTTCCCTTCTCTCTCTCTCTTTTTTTTCCCTCCTGCCATTAGCAAAGACAGGAGGGGATGAGATAAAACGTGCGAGAGGCAGCGAGAAGCAGAGGAAGAGAGAGAGAATGCAAGGACTGGAGGGGTGAAATGATCTCTGTCGGCAGAATTACCGCTGTGACCCTTTGGAAAATCCAGTCTCCATTTACATATAAAGGGTTCTTTTAATCAAGGTAAGTGTTATTATATTGTGCCTCATTGGGCAAGGGAGTTTAGGTGTTAAATAAAATTTCATCTGCCCCGCTGCCTTTGGGATGTTATATGTCTTGATTTTTCAAATGTCAGCACTGTGGCAGAATGGCCAGCTTAATCAGACTGCCGCCATTTAGCTATAGAGGGATTGTGTGTGTATGTGTGTGAAAGAGAGACAGAGACAGGAAAACAGTGTCTCGGAGAGGCCGTATCTGTATGTGTGAAAAAGACCCCCTCCTTTTGGACAAAGTGTGTATGCCTGTGTCTTCTACCTTATAAATATATCTCAGTGTCTCCCTGCTCTTGTCTGCGAGTCTCAGGTCAGGCCACTCACTGCCTCCTCCCGCTCCCCAAATCGTCTCCCTCCAGTAAAAAATAATCAAAACACACAGCCCCCCCACACACTCATTCCTCCCTTTACACAGCTCAAACCAAACCCCCAGTGAAGGATCGGCCATGTCACCCGCGGCCCGTATATCTTGCTCAGGGGCCGTAATGTACTGCGGTGTTCCCGTCTTTGCATATAAGATAATTTGGGCATCAATCCTTCCCCAGACAGATTTATGTCACTCGGAGGACAGTTTCACTTCTCCTTCTTTATCGCTTCACTGGAGCCTGCTTAATTTCTCCCTGTCAGGCCCTTCCCCAGGAGATGTTATTTTTTCCCTAAATGTCCAACATTTGCATTGGCTGTCCAAGATGGGGAGAGCGATGGCGCTGTTGTGATAAATAAATTTGTGCATGCCACGCCAGGTTGTTTCTTCCACCCCCTTTTTCTGTTGTTGTTCATGTTGTCTGGCGCCACAAGTCGGGTCCTCTCTGTCCCAGGATGATTACCCCTTTTTCTCAAGTCTTCAATTTATCCTCTACATTTAAAGCATCTTTCTGGCTACCTAAGTTGTTGCTGGGAAGGAAGGGGGCCCAAGCTTGCTGTAAAATTCTGCCCAGTGTGAGAGGACATTGTGCTGGTCAAGTGAAAGGGAATTGGAAAAAAATTGCATAAAAATAAAACCCAGCAGCCCCAACGTGTGAAAAAAAAACAAGGAAAAGAGCCCAGTACTTACTTCCCCCTTTTCTTTGCTTTTTGAGTTACAAGATGGAGGTTACATGTAGTGCCATTGCCCATCCATGCCCATATTCATCCCCATTCCACTCATAGGCCCTAGAAAGAAGAGATAAATGCCAGAAAAAGCATCAGCAGGAGTTTGAATCACAGCGAGGTCAGAGACGACCAACTAGTAGAAGGGATGAGGTTGGTTAGCTTTAGATGGAAAATGAGGGAAGAGGAAGATGTGAAGAAGTGGTTTAAGAGTTTACATTTCTTGCTGGTTCCCTTAAACCCATTTGTTGTGATTATGAGATTAGAAAAAGCACAAGCAAGGCAGGCGGAGGGGACTTTTAAAGACAAGCGTTATCGTGGTTGAGGTGCACACTAGTGTTAGGTTTATGCGACTGACTTGGGAGACCTTCTCCATGCTGAGGTTACTACATTTCATGCTGCAGACAGTGGGGTCAGTGTCATTCAGCTCTTTGGTAACTCTTGTGTGGTAAAGCAGGCATGGTGGAGGGAAGACGGACGAAGGAAAGGAGGCGGATGGACTTACCAGCTGGTCGGATCCCCATGTGTTGCTGACCGTCCAGCACGAAGCTACCCATTGGCTGGCCCTCCGGACTGTACGCTGCTCCTTGGCTCACTGAAGGATCAAGAAGAAAACCTGATTGTAGTCAAAACGTGGACATGAAAAAGGAAGGGGGGAAGAAGAAGAGAAAACACACCAGACAATCAGCAATTGTCCCAGCTCCAGCCCAAACATACTGTAAGACATTGTGCTCATGTTTGTGGACAGCACTGACTGACGCGTGGCATGCAAACATGCATACAGTGGGTCCTTATGCATGCAAGCACACACACGCACACACAAACACTTGTGCGTACACGCAGCCAGTGTCATTCAAAACCACGCTCAAGGGAGACACATTGTTCTCTAACCGAGAGAAGAAAGCATGCAGTTTGACAGGATGGGAAGAATTTATGCCATGGCAGGCAATTCATCCAGACTCAGCTTTCAAATATTTTGTTAAATCCATAGCACATGTATATGTTTCTTTTCTTAAGAAGAACATAACATACAAATTTAGATAATCCCAAAACTGCCAGATCGTTTAATATGTATTATGGATGAATTACCTGATTAGCTGTTATAATAATAAAGAAGACAGAGCAGCAATCTTTGCTCAGCTGGATCTTATTTTGTTTATTATTAGGCTTATTGAACTAATGCATTTTGGAGACTGCAGAAACCATTGCATTCTGGGACTATAACAGAATTATCTTGGATAATCTGTAATTCTCAAAGATTAGAGGGAGATGTTAGTCATGCTGTGTTAGTAGAGATTGCTGATTGGCACACACTGGATGCAGGCTGTCAAATACTCCACACAAAAGAGCAATAAGTATAGAAAGAGGCGCCCACATTTGTAAGTGCATCTCATTTTAATCATGGCTCGTGTCGGTTTGAACAATCTCCATCCCTGAGTGTAGGGATCTTCATAAAACGAGAATTACTGTTTTTTTCTTCTTCTTTCTTTTTTTCTTTTTTGGTAATGCCAAAGTCAATGAAGCTTAGGGTGACTGAAACATTTAGCAGGATCACATAGTGGCATACTTGCTACTACTAGGTTGTGCTTTTGGAAATCTGAACACATTAGACATGGAAAATCAGTGTGTTATGATTTACCAATATAAAGTGTTCCATCTTTTTTTAAACCAATGTAAATCTCTCGTGCATGGGGGATAAATCAAGACATAATGGTGGAATCCATTAAAAAAATCAGAGAGGTTTTGATATTTGCAATGCAGTGAATGACTACTTAAGATCAAAATTTAGAAGAGTGATTCTTGAGGGAAGGAAATAAAAATGCAGCAGAAAAATTCAGGGGAAAGCCCCCTACCTAACTGAAAAAAAGGAAGAAAAACAAAATAGCCTAAAAAAGAAGGGAGATAACTCATAAATTGCTGCTAGCGTTTTTGGCACTCCTCTTGTGTCCAATTAGTAATTCACAGAGAGACTGCTAATATACCTCTCTTGCCACTTAGACTGGGAAATCTCCAATTAGAGTCAATCAGCAAACAGCCTGCACCACTGCTGAACACATCTCATTGAGAAAATGGAAAAGGGAATGAACGATGGAAGAGGAAGAGGAGGGAGTAGGTGTAGGGTACCCCTCTAAAAATCTGGGCTCCAGGCATAATGTGCTTGCCAGTAAAGGATTTGGAAAGGGTGTCTTCATGCAGGGAAAAGAAGCCGTACTCTACTGTAGATTAGCTGGATTGTCTGTTTGGGTTTTTTCATTTTGAAATTTTTGTTTGTCTTTTCCTTTTTTTTTACCTGCTCGATTTGACTGGTCGATCATGGGTTGTACTATTCTTCTCCTGGCATTGATAAACCTGGCAGAGGAAAAAATAAACACAGAGAAGAGAAAAGCAAACGTTAAATCACGCTGCATTCACACACAGAAAGATTCATCACGAGCCTCCACAAAGAAAAAACAGTTTTGCATGACTTAATGGCAACATTAGCCACCGAGTCCTTGAGAGAGGCGCTCACGACACAACAGCAACAAACAAAAGGGCAATTGTCTGCTGACTTGGGAACCCAGTGAGGGATACTTTTAATGTTCCTTATGATCTATTCCCCCCTCTTTTAATAAAGCTTTTGATTACGTTTGGTTGCTATGGGCACCAGGGAGACATTCCTCAAGTATTAAGTGCAACTTGGGCACAGAAGAACCCTCAACATGGCACATCCATTCCTCTCTCCGTCTCGCTTTCTTTTTTCTGTCACTACTGCTATAGTTCTACCCAACGCTCACCAACTCTATGTAATGTACTGCATCTTCTACAGTTATTGCACCAAAATGTTATTTTTTGTGGGGATACTTGAATTTCAAAATGAACTTTAAGTTCAAAATGCAGGACATAAATGGTTCCTTTCATTGCACCCCCATCTCTTCCCTCCCCCTCTGTGGGACCCCCAACTCTGGCTGCATTGTAGGGGGTTCTGCTCCCCTTCCAGCTGTCCAGAAATGAGGACCAGGCATGGGCCACGCCGTGCTTTCACAAGGTATTGTTATGTCAGTGAGCCCATCAATTAGGCTGTCTGAAGTTTTATCACCACCACAGCAGCGAGTAAGTGCACCTCCACAAAGCCTCCCCAGCCAGTCTTGCTCCTGTGGCTTTTCCAGTGTAGAGCCGGAGGTCATCTGGAGGTGACTGCCAGCCAGGGGCAACCTTTTTAACTTGGAATGGGATGCCTTGGGTTGTGTCAAACACAATCTGCCCACTAAGGCCAAGGAAGTTCTCCACCTTTATATCTTTCTTTTTACCTCTGTTGCCACCTCTTTTCATTCTGACTTTCTCTCATTCACTTTAATAAACCTGAAAACATAGCATGGACCTAGCTCTAGGGGTACCCCCATGTGGTTGATATTAAAGTGGGGTTTCAAATCACGTTGGAGCTGTCCAGCATGGAGTCTTTTGCTAGTTCCAAAAAACACAGTGGAGGGAAGAAAAAAAAAAGGCTTTACTGCCCTCTCCTAACATACGGGCCAAGGCACCATCAATATGGCTAAAGAACTGGTCATTAGAAGGAAGGGAGAGCTGGAACCAATTTGGGTTCCTAATCCCCCATGAAGCCCTGATACCTGCCCTTACCTTCTCCAATGAACTTAAACGCCTGTAATCTGCCCGGCTCAAAGTGACATGGTTAAATGTACAAAATGCACAGTTGGGAAAAGAAAGACGCGGTGCTCATTTGCCAGGGGGCATCCAGAGTGCAGGTACGCATGGGGTACTGCAGGCCCCTGAGAGAAAAAAGATGAAACAAACCCACATGAGAATAAGGGAGAATGAAAGAGGAAGATGAGAGGTGGAGTGGAATGGAGTGAAGGAGAGAGCTGTATTGGAAATTATACTATTGTAACGCATGATTTGCAATTTAAGGAAGGAATAAAAATGAACTTTTATTAACTCTGAAGTATTTTTGAACAAAGGGGACAAAACATTGCGCGATAGCTATGCTCCAAGAAATGCCCGAGGTGCTTCAGGGAGAAAGACGGTTCCAGCATCGAAACCAGCTGAGCAAGAAAACAGTAAGACATTCTTCGTATCACACTCCCCTCTTTAGGTACAGAGTGTAAGGCTTGCCAAAATATATGTCCTGCTTTCTCCCTTTGTGGATGCACCAACAGGCTCAAAATCACAACCATGTGCATTCTTACCTAACGTATTCTGGGTCACAGCCATAAACACATAATATTAAGAATGTTCTTCCCAGGTGCTAAATTCAACCATACGGTTTCTAGTGACTGCAGAGGAAATACTCTGTGCACTGGAGAGTACTCAGTAGGATCAAAGTGTCATTTTCAGATGGAAAAATAGTTGTTTATATTTGTGTTTTTCCATCTTCTTACAGACAATATATAAATGTAAGCATGCCAGGAAGCATTTAGCTGCCAGTGTTCACTAATTTTTAGTATCCAAACAGCTCTTGGGGTATGGAAAAATGTGGATTTTCAGATATTTTCCCAAATGGACCTGCTTCTTGTCAGTGTTCCCTGTTGGCTAACTGTCACGATAAAGATTCACAAAGACTATTTTTGCACACTAAACAAGTTGCCACAGTAACCAGCAGGCGACGATGTGCACCGAAAAGAGTTGGGGGGTGGGGTGGGGAGTGGGGGTGCCTCTTGTGGCCTTAGAGCACCTTTTATCAGTCTGAGTAAAGTCAATTGAGATTATCAGAGCTGGGCCCGATAACACTGTTTTCCCTCCACCCGTGAGCTGCTAATGGAGTGTGCTTAGAACAACACAACCAGGAATCCTCCAGAGATGAGGGCCAGTCAACTCAGATGGACAGTCAGATGGATGGATCAGAGGACCCAAAGTCCTGAGAGAGATACAGAGGTTGACCACAGGGATTTAGAATTCCTAAGCCACTTGCTAAAATGTGTGTGTGTGTGTGTGTGTGTGTTCTGTAAATCTACACATCAACACCATGGACATAACCACAACCACCGCCAGTGTGTCCATAGGCTAACCAGAACACAGGAGGCTCACAGGGGACACTAGCTAAAAAACCTCCAACCCAAAGCCCATGTTTTATTATCTACATCTGGTGGTCTAGCTTATTATGGCCTGCCTCTGCTCAGTGTTAGAGCACAGAAACACCGACACGCACACACGCACACATGCACACATAGTACACAGAGTACCTCTCAGCATGGGAACTCCGTGCTGTCTTCAAACAAATAATTAAAGGCAAGGTTAGGGGGTCGTGTGGAGGTCATTCATTGGGATACAGCTCAGAATGTGTACAATACCCCAGGAAAAAGTGGGCTGTTGGGGGCTGCGGCCCACTGCTGTTTAATATTAGCAACTGGTTTTGTCCAGCCAATAGGCCCTAAACACATTTTCAAGCTGCGTTTCAAAAACTGCACTCACAGTGCTAAGTACACTTTAGAGCTTGCATGTTAATATGTATGCACATGTCAGTCAATATGTGTGTATAATGCATGTCAGCACATTCTTCACATACTACTGCCAGCTGGCTCACAGAAGCACTTTTATTCACTGAGATGGCGTGAAAGACGCACTTGAAAAGCACAAGCTTGTGTGCAGATACAATAATGCATCTCCACAGGAAGACCTGGTATCCATCTTCCTAATGATATAAGAAGCTAAACTTACTACGGCTGTTAGGAGTTGAACATAGTGGGCAGATATGAATGATGGAGACAGGCTAGCATGCTGTGTTTTGCTATAGCCTGTAGTTACGTGAGTGTGGGGGGACTGAGATTAAGATCTGGTCAGGCACAGAAGAAGAGATATAGATGGACTAGTGAACTTACATAATCCTAAAGCATACCACGAGACTTTATTTTTTAAGTAGAGTCCTTCAATTTTACAACGCTCCCCTTTAATGCAGCAAGCCAACTGCATCACAAGCATAATAGTATCAAAGGTTACTGGAGGTTTGCAGATGTAATCACAGCAAACCAGTCTGTCTCACTCAGTGTTGTCTTAAATTTTTTTCTTACTTCCTCATCTCAGTCTGTCAGAAAGACCTTGTTTCTAGTTAACTGACTTGCAGCCACACCTGGTAACTCGCTCCTGTTGTCAGCATTCCTTCGCTGAGAAATTGTCATGCCAAACCACCCTACCCTGGAGCACAGCCAAGAGACGGAGAGCGAGAGGGAGGGAGACGAGACGGAGAGAGGCGAAACAGAGAGTCTCAATGCTTAGTTAGCCAATTGCGGTGGAGATCACAGGAAACCTAGCCAATCAGGAGTGGGGTCACTCGTTTGACGAGTTTGTGATGAAAGAAAGAAAGAAAGAAAGAAAAAACAAGACAGAGTGAGACACGAGAATGAAATGCAGAAAACTGAATGTGCCTTATCTAAAAAATAAGCACAGGACTACTCCAAACATAGCGCTGTACAGTGTGCAAAGCATTTAAACAGTGTCACAAAAATCGTTGACAGTTTATTGCCTTCATGGCTGACCTACACATGCCCATTTTGGAAGCTCATATACCAAGTGAGAGGGGGGCAAGTTTCCGATTCCTGGGCCCCTATTCGTCTGGCTTTGTAGGAAGATTAGATGCAACACAATCTGTACAAGAACATACTGAACTCAATCCATGATCACTGCTTGCAAACATGACTGTCCTCTGGTTCCTATTAAAGCTCATTGCTTCCATACTTCCGCTTCAGACAGAAATAAAGATTCCAAACCCCCAGCGATTGAGTCACAACTCACTAGAATCAAAGGAGGAAGGCTTTAGTTTGATGCTCTTCCACGAAAAAGAAAGGCAGAGAGACAGGAGTGGAAACTGGATGTCCTTTGACCGGGAAGTGCATGCAAATTAACCCCATGAAGAGAGTGTGTTTAGTATAAGCAAACACTAATTATGGTCCAGTCAGACACAGGGTAGTCCAAGGCTACTGAACTTCTAACACTGATCCACTGTAGTGTCAACAACGGTGATTTAATCAGCTCACATGGTCCAGGCAGGCCCCTGTAACAGTTTATACATGGCTTGCCACCAGACTGAACCTACAGTATCTGTGGATTTATCATAAACTATCACAAAGGAGCTTTTCACTCCTCTAGGATAGAGATAAGTGACAAGGAGGTAGGAATGGGGAAGCTTTCTCAAGCTCATCAGCGACAGAGTTTCCCTTTTCTATACCTTCTTCGCTTCTTTAAGTTAAAACAGGAGTCGAGAGACATGTGCCGGGCGAACATTACCTCACCCCTGTGTTTGATTTAGTGCAGATGTGAAGCAGAGCAAGACAGGATCATTTTTTTAGAAACGTCGGTGAGGGCCCGCGTTTAGGGCAGCCACTGTGTTTACATAGTTTTACCTCTGTCTATCTCTTCCCCTC